TCAGCCCCGACCTACAGCCGCCTCGCCTTTCTGCTGGCAGCCGTTGTGATTTTCCAGCAGTTGTCTGCCCATGTCCTAGGCAAAACAACGTGTTGAGGATTGATTTCTTGGACTGTTTCTCATCCCATCCGAGATACATTTTGTGAGCAATGAGTCTGGGGCTATTTTGCTATGGGAATGGCTTGGTAGTGGTGCAGTTTTCTCCGATGGTGATGTTTACATGCTATCTGCTGCAGTACCTGTGGCATAATTCAAATACAATTATTAAGAACATGCTTAAAAGACCCAAGATGATACAGGTCTATTACATATATATAGCAGGACTATTCCCAAGGCTATTTTTCATTCCCACCAACTTCATCTGAGTTCTACAAATAGGACAGCCTTTCGTTTCTAAAGTTAAAATCTATCAGCTTACCTCTTTGGAGAGTCTTGTGAAAAGGTCCCCTCCCCGCAGGAAATCTAGTATTAGATACAACTTTCCTTCTGTTTGAAATGCTGCATTAGAAAAGGATGGAGATGCTGGAAGTTTGAATCAAGATAAAGACTCGAAAGAATTAATCCTGTTGACTAGCAGTGTATCATTCATGCCATTAGTTTCCCTGTCATTTCAGCACTCTGAGAACAGAAAAATTTAATTTCTCTATAGAACTAAGCAATTGAGCTTAGACTACAGGAAAAATGGTATCAGCTGAGAGACAACAATGCATTACTAATATATGCTTTTCCATGCTAAGCAATTAAATAGCTTTCTATTGCACAAGATACCAGGAGTCACTAAGGGCTAGGCATAGAGAGAAGCTCCCAGGTTTGTGCGAGAGGAGAGACCGCACTCTCCAAAATGTCCTCAGAAGACCCTTTACAGTAATAATGGGGCTCCTCAGGGAGCTGGTGAGGCAGGGGAAGGCATCTCCAGCAAGACACCACATTCATATACACGCATACACAAATTTGGACTGGTGTGGATTATTAAGAATAGTTTTTATTTAGATTCTCTGGTTTTCTAAAAGATACCTGACAGCAGGTGAGGGGGTTGGCAGATGTATACTCACCAGCTACCCCACCAGCACAATCTATCACATTACACTTTATGACAAATGTATTTTGATGGAGGAATGGCTAAAACCTACTTATACTGAAATTCTCCTTTAGCATAAATGAAGAATTTCACACAGGTAGCCTCTGTGATTTTGTTAGAGACAGAGTCATAAGTAGGCAGGGTGTATCTGTGTGAAATTATAACACATCTAGTTACACTTCCCCAAGCAATTTAAGAACAAACACGAATTATATTTTGTTATAGTTACCATAATGAAGCTTGACTATGAAAGGATGATTCACTTCTGCCAAAATATCTCTCTCCATTTTTGATCGTACCCGATCCCGAACTATAAAGAAAGCACAGTAAGAACAGCAACATATTAAGAGGCAGCATAGTCACTGGGATGAGGTTCAGGTGATTGGGATTCTGCTTCTTGCTCTGCTCACGGCTTGTGGTGCAGCCTCTGGCAAATCTCACCACCCTCTGGCATCCCCTTTTGCTGCCTGCCTTGTCCATGCAGAGGGTAAGCTCCTCGGGAAGGCACCCTGCCTTCCCCTGTAGAGAACTGCCCTAACTAAAAGGACTACAGCATTACAAACAACGGGAATGTGATTACGCTTTGCAAAAGAGAACGTTAATGTGAAAATAGAAACTATATAAAATTAATAACTGTCTCATTTAAGATTAAACAGAATGTACCAGTCCCAGAGCTTGTCGGGTTAACCTTGTGCAAATTAACTTTTTGTATTGTGCTGATGCTGGCGCAGCGTTTATGAGATAGCATTGAATAGCACTCTCTGGAAGTGATTTATATAAAATACTTCTAGCTTCCAATAAACCACCCAAACAATCAGTAATAAAGAAAAAAGGCTGATTAAAAATAATAAAGAGTTATTTTTACATGCAGAGATAAATTATTGTGTGATACCAGTGAGAAAAATACTTCTTGTCATTGAGAAGAATAGAGAATAAGAGAAAAAATAGTTACAGAGGTGAGCTGGGTTCAAACTAATGCAAACCGATGCTGAAGATTTCATAGCAAAAACATTTAGCAGAATGTTCAGACATTGAGGATTCAAGTCCCCACATTATCAGCTCTTAATCTTATAGATTCATTTTTCAGTCAATCACAATTTTACTAATTCCATCATGAAAGCATTAAAATTTTCTTCTTTCTCTGCATTATACAATGCCAATATGCTTTTCAGCTGAAAGCATCTACAAGGAATGTTATGAGACTATTTTAGGTGGTAAAGCCCGAGTTCTCAGGGAGATTCTGTCATTGCCTATATGTGTTGTGGATCTGCTGAGAAGCTAAGTACTCTCAGCACCCAAGAAATGAACGCGCCATAATAAAACCACATATTCTGTCACTGTACTTCAAAAACTGATGCACAGAACTGGGTCTGAAACAGCTGATCTGAAAACCTTAAAGAGGAATGGAGGAACACTTGGATTTCTTGCTATTTTGTTGACTCAGGTCAATAGCTACGTAAGCTTTACTAGCTTACTCAACCTAGGCTACCTCGTGGCTAAACATCAAAACAAAGGGAATCTCAGAACCTTAATCTTATCTCATGAGTAAAAATCACACATCATACACTCACAAAATGTTTAGCCCATGTGAAGGCAGAGTATTTATCACACCGTAGAGCAGCGATGCTCCCAGGCAGGAACTCTTGTTGGACAGGTGGGCATCGCTGAACGCTCTACGCGGGATATTTCCCATTCATTTCCCATTAAGCTTGGTTAGCTAGCCTCATAAAGTGCCTCTCTGCACTCACACTGCACAGGCGTGAGGACAGGCTGGCAGAACGGCGGTGTGTCCTCCTGTCCCCACTGTTTCAACCTCTGGACAGGTAAGGGCGCAGCTGTGCGGCCAGGCGCTTTGCTGAAGCCCCCAGCGCTGTGCTCTGCACGCCGCTGCAGTGGTCACAGGCTGCCACGTCGCCCTCCTCCCCACACCTATACAGCATGCCTAGAGGCACAGGGGCATTAAAGAAAAGGCGATGTTGCCACAGGAAGTACCTCATTCTCTGGAGTCGTGGCCACATTACCACTCTGAACCTCGTCTTGTCCAAACCTGCTTTAATCACCACCTTCGCAGTGGCTGCCAAAAAAAGATAACTGGAACTTGTCATCAGGATTACAGCTTTGCACAAGAGATGGAGACCTGCCCTGCCCATCTTCCAGCATCAAATACAGCCTGATTTAACTGCTCTGAAGGCAGAAGGTACATAGGCCCAGATTTTTATGCAGTCCTACCACCAAAGAACCTACTAATCATATTCTCTAGAAAGGCAAATCCACTTGCTTACTCCCACTTAATTTTTCTTACCCCATTACTTCCCTAGGCCTGGGCCATGCCTGATTTTAGCCTCCACAGTAGCCTCCCTAGAGGTATCTACCTGCTTGCACCAGCTTACGTACCACAAGACACTGTCAGAGTTAGTTATTGTACCGTATGCTGCACATCCATTGCCATGATATTTAATAAACACACAAGGTTAAATCCCTTCTCCTTTGTGGTTTCTTATTAATTCTGTCAAGGCAGGGGGGAAGATTTATTTTCTCTTATTCCAGATACACCCAGGAATTCCCCTGCTCTTCTGACCTCTTGTATTTTTGAGGCTGAGGGCAACATAGGTCTGATATGCTTAAGGAAGGGTTTTAAAGAGAGATGGTGCTTTGACATAACATTTCAACAGCATGAGGCTCTGGCTCTGTCTGGCCTCTCTGTCATCTTCCAGGTACAGTGAGTGGGAAAGTGCCTCTCTTCCACACTTTGGACTTTTTTCCAGTATTCAGTGGTCCCAGCCTGCTCTGCTGAGGGAGTCTCCCTTCTAGTTCTTACATCCTGGCAGTCAGAAAATTAATTTCCTCAGGCATGATCTGAATTAGTTCTGGCTGCTTAATCAGCCAGCTAGATCCTGGCTACGGAGGGACCTATTTCTATGGATTCCTTTCCAAGTGAATCCCTTTTCTCTGATGGTCTTCTCAAGGAGCTGCAAAACCAGCGCTGGAACTCAGTAGCCCCAGGGCTGGGCTCTCCCCTCACAGGTACCGCCCTGTGGAGAGGCATAACCTCTCCTGCCCACGCCTTGGTAATGACAGGGGGTGTACACCAAAGGCACAGAGGAAAGTGCAAATAACTCAGCTCCCTCATCCTCATTTTGACCACTTGCAGGGGTCTCAGTGCAGTGGGGTTTGCCACTTGTCTTTCAATTATACGTCAGACAGAGGCAGAGGATGTAACCTGGAGCAATGAGCACAGTCATGAAGATTGTTTGCACGATCTTGGACAAATCAGCTATCCCTGAAATAATGCCTGGCGTCACGAGACAGAAGAGACCAGACTGGTGGAGCCTGTAACAGTGGAGGAAGCAGCTGCTACCCTGAAATAAAAACAGTTCCCGTTTCCAGGTATTAATGTGGTATGAAAGAGAAGTAATGGAGGCAGATGAGGCTACATACAAATAAATAGAGCTTATCCATTTCTGTCTGTCTAGCTGTGAACATCAAAGAGGAGAATGTTACTGCTTACTTTATTTAAACACTGAATCCTTAAGGAGCGGGTTTTATTTAAGGTATGACGTTCTACTTCTTGGGCTGTTTTAATTTTAATAACCATGAATTTCAGAAGGGAAAGGGCAAAAGGGAAAAGTATATTCAGAGCATCTTCCAAGGAGAGAAGAGTTCCTTCTCAATAATGGACAAGCGGTATATTTTCCGAATAAGAAAACAAAACCATAATCCCACTTCCCTCTCTGAAGCTCTCTTGATATCAACTTCGGTCGAGGTTTAAATATGGAAATATATATTAAATTTCAGCCAATGAACTTCTTGTCCATATGTCTTACTTAAAAACTAAGAGTCAGTGCATCTCTAAGATATGTACACCATCAAGTAATGATGATCTAGGGACACCCCTTGATGTACATGCAATGACATCGTATCTGTTCAGCAG